ATTTCCCCCCACTGTTTATGTTGTCTCTGCCTTAGAGGCTGTCCTTACTCCAGTGCCTTCCTCAAAGCTCACTGGCAATGCCTTGCCCGGCCGAGGTATGGACAGGCTGGCCACAGGAAGATCAAGGCACTTCCCGTGAACCCTACGGTTATAGACCTATTTGTACAGGTCTGTGTCCTCCATAGCAGCACCTCCATTTTCCTGCCTAGAGTTTTAGCTGGCTGTCTGGATGCAGGGAAGATGGGGAGAAACTATGTCGAGGGAAACCCTGTAATTTTAGGCACCTGAAAGTCAATGCCACCCATTCTCACTCTCTCCTGGTGTTTATGTGGGCAGGAGGTATCAATCTTAGAGAATTTTTTCAATAATACGAAATACATAATTTTTTATTTGCAGTAGCATTGGCTTACAACACTGTGAATGCTTCAGGGACACAGGCCCCTTCTTCCTCTAATGCATATTACCACACCTCAAGTCTGCCAACCTCCCATCCTCTTCTACCACAATGTCTGGGCACCCACCACCCTCTGTTGAGGAAGATTTTCCAATTTTTCTGACTTTAATCTCAAGCCCCAGCTGCCTTCTGACATAACATAGCGCTTACTTTTCTTCAGCTTCGTTTGCTACTCCAAAACTGGGCCGCACACATACTCTGATTCTCATTGTATTCTCCTGTCTCCAAATCCTCTGAAAACAGATGAATTTCATCCTTGCTTTTATCAGCCATACACTCACTTCCATTTCCTAGCCTCCAAAAGTTTTCCATCTCTCTCTATTCAGTTCCTTTGTAGTTTATTTGTCCCTAATGATAATTTGATCTCATATTTAACAAAGTTTTTATAGGCTTTAGAATGGAATGGAAATAAATAACTTGTTCAATTTGCTATGCTCTGGAAACCCATTTACCTTTTTTAAGAAAATCACTTAGGTTTCTAATGATGAGATTAAAAGAGTAGAAAAATGTGAACTTGAAAAATATGTTGTAAATAAATACATTTTATTTAGTAAAGTTACAGAGTTTAAAGTTATAAAGTACTTTTTTTAATTGCTGCTGTGGAGCATTCCCACATTCAGGACTTCCTTGCCTGGACAGAAGTTTCCTTTACTCCACATGTATGTGTGGTTTGACCTCCTCATTCATATTACTACCAAGTCACCAAGTGATACACTTCTCCTGTGACAGAATTCTCAACACAAGACATGTGATGAACTTGTCCTCTTGTTTAATTTTCACCTATTCTGACCTTAAATTGGCTTGTAAGTTCTTTTGATAATCATGAAATTTATTTCACAGATATATTATCTGTTATTTTTGGAAGGTGCTAGGATGTTCTGATCCTTCAAAGCTTTCAACACAGAGTGAAGCAGAAGCTATTGATTGTGTGTATAATGAACTGGTGACTGAAGTGCTGATCTATGTTTTTTGTGGACATGTTTTAATCTTAAGGGAAATTCTTAAGGACATAGACCAGAGGTCTGTTTTGTCCATATAAATATAATATTGGCTATTTTCATTGTGAATGATTAAGGAAAAATTAGGTCAGAATGAAAAAGGGTAACTGTAAGGATAATAAAAGAACTGTCTTGTAGTTTTAAAAACTCATTTAACGTATTTAGATAATTACACAGGTAAGTAAAAAATCGGTTTGATCCAAGTCCAAAAGGGGCTTGCCACTCAGAATGCAGCTGATATTGCTGTAGCAGACGAGTCCAGAGTGTAGACTGGGAAGAAAATTTTGTGACTAAACAATGAGGATACATAGTGTTTAGGTGAGGATATCACTCTTTAAAGTTTTGGGGAATATTTTTTTTCCAGAATCTAGGAATATAAAACTAGAAATGCCAAAGTAAGGTTAAACATTACAATTCAATTACAATCATTATAAGAGTTGACTCAAATCACTAAATCGCAGCATTCTAAATACAATGATTTGTTTAAGACAAAATGTATCTTAATAACTAGCATTTTCTGTCAGATATCAAAAGTAGAACCTTATTTGATTTTCACAGTTGAGCTTAGGGGGATAGTCATAGTGACTGTTGACTATGCACATAATGTATACCTAGAGCAATAAATGTATTTGCCGCCAAGATCAGGCAGTCCGACACCATGGTTATTACCAGTTCAACAGAGTTTGTTAGTGATGATGCCGTTTACTGTCCTTATTGTATGCCTTTTCTCTCCTGCAATACTCATAACATATCACCATTTCAGAAACTGAGGGTCAGAGATGTAAGTAATGACCTACATGATGCAAACAGTAAATGATGGAAGGAGTCACAATTTCAATATTCAAGCCTATTGTCAGTGTTCAAGGAGTATATCATGCTTTTGCTAAGTTAGTGAAAAATTTTAATAAACTTGCACAATATTCAAAGGGATGGTGTGGAGAAAAATTCAGTTCTCTGTACAAGTACCTCTAGGTAAATGAAAACTTTTTATTTGCTAACTGAAATAATGGGGTGGAGATATTTTTACACATTATTAGCTGTTTTTGAGAAGGCATAAAATAGAGAAGCAGATTATATTAAAGAACAGGTAAGCATGACTAAAAGTTGGAATAGCAAAGAAAGAATTAAGGAAAATAGAGTAAGAAAAAATGAAGACAAATGAGAGGAAAATAAAAAGAAAATAGGAAAGAAATAGAAGGAAAACAACCCAAAAAGGAGAAAACCATAAGAGAAGTGAGAAGTGACAAAAGATAAGAAAGCTGAGTAAAAAGACACACAGGATGGAGGGCAAAAGACAATCATATAAGCAATAGAATATAAAGGATTTTGAGACAGGGTCCAGAGAAGCCAGGGAAAGACTGGAGAGAACAGTTCTCAAGTTAATCAACATGCTGTGAAGCAGATAGTGAAGGTGACAGCCATCCCTAGTAGGACTGTGGCTGTTCACTGGAGCAATATCCACGATGACCGTCACTTTCTTTTTGTCACAAAACATGGCTTCTCTGTATAATCCCTATGGTTTTGAGCCTTTGTCTCTGAAAACCAGTCCTCTGAGTGCTCCCTTCACATCTTTGTCCCTCATTGTGTTGATGAGTAGATTGAGGGAGGAGGTCACTATTGTATAAAACAGGGAGAAGATTTTTCCTCTGAGTGTCAGAAAAGGAGCTGTTGCACTGACCATAGATCATTAGAGCAGTCCCATAGAAGATAGGCACTACCATCAGATGGGATCCACATGTCCCCAGGACTTTGCGCCAAGCCAGGGCTGACTTGATCTTTACAACTTCCCTCACTATTAATCCATAAGATGTCATTATAAACAATAAGGATGTGTAGAGCAAGACTAATGAAGTGGTGAACACTTGGACCTCATTGGCATGGATGTCCACACAGCAGACTTACTCATTGAGGGTACCTCACAGAAGAAATTATAGATCTGCCTGTTTCCACAGCGAGTCAGCCGAAGGGTGACAGTGCTCAGGGTGAGAGCACTTATGACTCCACACAGCCATGCAGCCCCTGTCAGAGTCTTGCACACTGTTGGGTTCATCACAGTAGCATAGTGACGAGGTTTGGAAACAGCAGAACAATGGTCAAAAGCCATTATCACCAGCAGGATACACTCAGCACCACCCATGGCCAGAGCCACATAGAGCTGGACCACACAGCTCAGGAGTGTGATGGTCTTGGCTGGGCCCCGGAGGTTCCACAGCAGCTGGGGAACAACACTGGTGGTAAAGCAGAGGTCGACTAAGAAGAGGTGGCTGAGGAAGAAGTACATGGGTGTTTTGAGTTTAGGGTCGGTGGAGGAGACCGGGATAATGGCTGTATTTCCCACCAGGGTCAACAGGTAGGAAAGCCCACCAGGATGAAGTCCCCCTTGACACTGCTATTGGTGATGCCCATTACCTGTTCAGAGACAGAAAGTGTAAGAGGAGCTTAGAAAGTGGCCACTGGTCCCAATACCAACCATTTCAAACAACTCTAGAAACACTCACTGAGGGAGAAATGGCAGCCACTTTTGGGGCATACGGAGGAGACGCTGGAGAGGAGACTTCAGAAGGAAGGAGAAGGCTGGAGAGTGAGAAGGAGGCCTGGGGAGGCACGTGGAGCAGACACATGTGAACAAGTGGCACTTTCCACTTGGTCCTAGACTGGTTGAAACACGAGTGGGTGAGAAACCTGTGGGGAAGTTAGGAATGGCAGCTTTTACCTTGATTTTGATTTTGCTATTTTCCTACCAGACTTCTCTGGAGGTTTCTTCCCCTCTCCTGTGAGTCCCAACAAAAGATACTCTCACATTGTGACCAAGCCTTTGGGCGTCGGTGACTCTGCTTTGGGGCAACCCTGTTTGACTCGGAATTTACCCAGTAGGGTGGGTAACATAAGGTGACTTGGAAGCTTCTTCTATTCCTTTTCTTTGTTGCCCACTAATTGTATTAAAGTTCCTTTCTGTTAATGTCAAGCCCAACAGTGTGTGTTCTCTCTTGGTGTTGTGAATGGCAGAACATATTTAGAGCCAGCAGATAAGGGACTTCGGGGGGCCCCCTCTCCCTTTCCTGTAGCAACATGAACAAAGCACTCTGGATAGAGAGGTACAGGAGTCTAAACAGGAAAAAGCAGCTTCTTTTTTCAGATAACCAGGAACAAACTGAGATGAAATTTATCACAGGAAAAAAAATGAAAAGGAAGAAGGTGAAAGAAAGTCAGTTGAATGAAAATGCATTCATTAGCACAGAGTTCATACAAATCTTTCCATTTAAATGGCAGGAAACAAAGTCCTGAAAGTACAGATTTAATTATAAATGAAAATAACATTTTGATTCTCTAAAAATAAGCTTGAGTTGGGCATGTTTTCCAGTACTTGGTGTCCTGCAAATGATAACTTCTTAGAGATGACAGAGGTGATTTTTGTGAAATAATTACCTTAGGAAGTAGTAAATTTAACATTCACTTCTAAATGTTGAATGAGATTAAGCCACATAATCTCAAAGATATATTTTCTTTAGGGGTTACTTAGTTTATTCCACAAAACATCATGATGCAAGTCCATGCAATGACTGCAGCAAATGAGTCATTGCAGGCTTCTGTGTGTGATTATAGACAGGACAGAGGCTTCAGTCGCTTATTTTGAATGTAAGGTTGAACTGAATGGATGAATGAGAATCAGAGAAAGGAGGGTTGTAGGTGAGTGAAGGAGGCTGTCTCAAACCAGATCATACTTACTAGAATTTCTTCCTCTTGTAGAGAAATATCTTTTCTAAAACAACAGTAATAAAAGCAGTGAATGTGTTAAATATCGATATATTTTACTCATACAAAGCAAATCCCTAAGACTGTCACTGTATTTCATATTTGGGACAAACATCACTTTCTACACATCATTGGTAAAATCAATAAGCTCTCAGAATGTTCCCTAAAAGGCAATTGTAGAACATAATTTCTTATATTACTTGTTACACAAATTAATCAAGAAGGTCAAATCAGTTAGCTGTTCTCATGAATAGGTGGGTAAGTCTCAGCCTATGAATCACTGTCCAGGCATGAGTTCCACCCCCCGCCAGCGAATTAACCCGCATGAAGCAGCAGACCTCTCCTGTCTTGCTGTCAGCCTCAGCAGTGTATTTCAGTAGATCTGCCTGCTCTGCTTCCTGATCTGTCTCTGGTGAATCTTCTCACTCTCTTGTAACTCAGCCTTCAACCCAGCTCTGGTATGCATAAATAAATGAATCTTTCAGAAAAACATTTGTGATCACAGGCATGACACACATGGGAAGCCAAGGAATCCATACTAGTGAGAAGGCAAGGCGAGGAAGCTCGCCACCTTTAGCACACAGATGTCTCATCTTAACATATCAAAGAACTCACAGCCATCAAGTCCCTATAACAGTTGCCTTGGAATGAGGAGTCAGTGAATGAGTCCACATACTGCTTGTAGTGCTGTTATTTGATTGGTCTGGAGAAACTGGAGAGGGCAGAGCTTGTCCCTGGGATTGAAAAGATCCCAGAAACAAATTTGTCCTAATTGGCACTTAACACCAGGTCTGGACTAGCCACAGTTTTGTCCCAGGGGTCGTTCTGCTATGACCTTTCAGTGTTCTTTAAGTAGACAGCAAATTACTGATATTTTAACTTCTGTGCTCACAAACTCCTCACCACTTAGCTGCTTTCTCGTATCTGTCAACACCAACATTAAATTAGTAACATCATTTATGCACTGTATATTACACATACAGGCATGTAGGTATACATCTCTGCTGACTGATAGCTTCAAATTCTTTTCATCGCGTTAAATTTCTGTCACCTTGTCCTTTCACCGTGTCTACCTTGAAAAACTGCAGGTCCAGAAATCTTCAGCAGAGGCTTCTTCAATTGTGCAGACAGACAGATGTCACTCATAGACAAGGAATTAAACTGAAATGTTTCGTTAAAAAATACTTGAAGTTTCTGACTTTGAAGTTAATTCTTCTTTCTGCCCAGAAGTCTATCTGTGTGTTTCCTGTTTGTCTCTCCCATCTCTACGGAAAGTGTTCAACACATTCTTAAAGCTCCTCGACCCCATGTCCCACATATTTTCAAGCAAGCTCTCTTGTATTCTGATGACCAAAATAAAAACCAAAGGGAGATGCTAGCGTTCTCTTGCACCTGTAAAGGATGGATCATCTTATCCATCCTTTGTAGTATTCTTGAACCAATATAATAAGGACCCTCTTTTTGTCTTAGAGTAATTTTTTTAAAAGATTGGTTTATGTATGTATGCAATAACTGGGGTACAGGTCAGAGGTGTGGGAGTGAGAGGTTTCACCAGAGACAGAGTGGAGAGCAGAACAGGCAGATCTACTGAAATACACTGCTGAGGGGAGCAGCGGGGAGCCAGGAGAGGTCTGCCGCGCCATGTGGTCACCTCCCTGGTGGGGGATTGAACTCATGCTGCAGTGGCTGCAGATAGCTTTATAGTGCTGTTGTGCCACCAGGGAGGACTCCTTAGAATAATCTTTTTCCAAGATTTTGTGTCTTTATGGACATTTAAATTGTTTCCAGAAATTTGCTGCAGTAAGTAGAATGCAGTGACCACAGGAGTGCATATATCCCTTCGATCAGTGATTTTGTGTCCTTTGGGTAGATATTAGCAGTGGATTGCTGCATTCAGTAGTACATCTGTACTTTAGATGTTGGTGAATCTCCTTCTATTTTCCATAGAGGCTAGACCTGTCTATATTCCACTCAACAGTGAGGGCTACTTTTACACATACTTGCCAATGTTTGTTGTGTCTGGATTTTGATGTTTGCCTATTTGTTTAATAGGAGTCATTCTCAGTGGAGTGAATGTTACCTCATTATACATGTATCTTGTGCATTTTCCTGATGGTAAATGAAATTATAGATTTCTTCACATTTGTAAAATTGCTCATAAGTCCCTCTTCTTTGTAGAAAAAGATTTCGTTTTCTGCCCATCATTTTAATGGTAGTTTGTTTTCTTTCTTTTTGATGTTGGTGTTCTTTGTTAGATCTCAGATAATATTCCCTTGGAGATGAGTGATGTGCAAATACTTTCCCTCACTGAGTAGACTTTCTCTTTGTTTTCATGATAATTGCTTTCCTTGTTCGGGAGCTTTCCAGTGTAACATAGTCCCGGTGTTTATGTTTGCCTTTGATTTATTTGCCATTGGAGTCTAGTCCCCAAATACATCCCTGAAGCCAATGATGTGGCATGTCTTATCTGAGTTTTCTCTACATACTGTATTAGTATTAGAACAATCATTTTTATTTAAGATTTATTTTATTTATGCATACAAGAGCAGGTATTAGGCCAGAGTTTCAGGAGGTTAGAGTACTTAACAGAGACAGAGTTGAGACCAGAATAGGTAGCTATTACTAAAATACAGCAGCAGTAAGTGAAGACAACAGTAAATGAGACAGAAGAGTTCTGCTGCACCAAATGGGTCACTCCCTGGTCTGGGGATTGAACTCAGGCTGCACTGGCTGGTGATAGCTTGATTGCACTGCGACTTTAACCCCCGTGCCACCAGAGAGGGAATAGAGTTTCCAGTCTTACATCCAAGACTTATCAATTTTGTTTTAAATATTGTGTATTGTCAGAGTATGGCCCCATTTCCTTTTTCTGCATGTGGCTATGCAAATGTCCAGCTGCGTATGCCATAGAATCTCTTGCTTTCTCCATTGTATAATCTTGGCTCCTCTGTCATGCACTCAGTGCCCATATAATTGAGGGTTTTTTCTAGGCACTCAGTTCTGTGCAAGAGGTAGAATTTTGTTAAAATCAGTGAGAAACATGCTTTAAACTGGCTTTTGGCAGTGGTGAAGCTGAACTAGGGAAAGGCAATTAACACTTGAAGGACTATGAATTAGTGGTCTATTTTTGAATTAGTGGTCTATGCTAATTTGGAGAGCTGGTGGTCATCAGATAATATTCAGGTGAGAGAATGAAAATTGAAATTGCTCTGTGACCATTGAACTGGGAGAAATTACAAGAGGTTTAATTTAAAAATACATAACACTCATGCCTGTCTCACAAATCACCTTGGGTCAACCCACACTACACTCATAGGTTACTGAGAAAAGGTGTATATTAGATCACCATACATGTTACTGGCTTCCAAATTAGCCTTAAGTGTCATTTGTGGTCATGTTGATCCTTCTTGCTCAAAGTACCCTCAAAAATCTTACTGTTCCACAAGCATCATGTGCCCACCATGACACCACAAAATCAACATCTTCTGCTGAATGTGTTGTTTCTTTCTTGTTCTGCCTAATGAAGCTTCTGTTTTCAGGGTGGATTTCAGTGTGAAGGAAATACAGGGTGGACTTTCTCCTGTCTTTATTAATCTGGATTTGCTGACTTAGGAATAGATCATTAAAAACCAGTTG